GGCCAAACTTCACATACCCAGCAGCATGGCCCTTCAACTGCCTGGATGCTGTTAGGTTCCACACTCACTAGAAGGGGCAGGAAGGAATTGTTGGAAGAGCTGGGTTGGGGAAAATGAGGCTTGCGGCCTTCCACGTGGTCAGTAAGACAGGGTCCCAGAGTTGAGCAGGAGTGCCCTGTGGTGAGAGGTCAGAGGGCTGGTCCACGGAGACTAGCCCAACTGGCTCGCTGCCCTTCTCAGAGGGGTCCCAGGTTCGTATTTAATTCTGTCCAACTCTAGAGTCTTCGTTCTCTCCTCTGCAGCTGATGTTCCCAGGGAAATAAACAAAATAAAGGCACTAAACAAATGAACTGGGAAGTTAAGTGGAGCCGCAGTCACAGACACAGCACCCAGAAATGACCCTGGTCGCTTTCAAAGCTTTCTTTCCGAGGGCTAGTATCACAGTGGACATGGTGTTTTGTGCGTGCCTCTGTTTGCAAACTGTTTCCTGCCTGCTAGGAAATAATTTTCAATGGGATTTCACCCCCATCTGGTATTTGGCATATGTCACGGCAGCTTCTGTGTTCCTGTTGTTTCCATTCTTCTTATAAATTAGGTGCTGATAAGCATCGTCTTAGCATCTCTGAGTATTTCCCTGGCAAGTTCTGTAAGTACTACAGCTGGGCCCCAGGTCACAGCAGCTAAGTATAGCCAGAAAGTCTTTAAAATGTCTTTAAAATGATTACTCTGTGTGCACATCATACTACATGTGCCATAGTGTACATGTAGAGGTCAGGGAACAACTTCAAAGAGTCAGTTTTCCCTCCACCTCCATAGTGTACTGAACCCAGGTCCAAGGCCTGTGTGCCAAGTGCCTCTATCCACTGATTCATCTCACCAGACCCCAGAAAGCCTTTTTTTTTTTTTTTAACTTTTTACATTTATTTATTTTGGGGGGGAGGTGGACCATAGTATTTATGTGGAAGCCAGAGGACAACTTGCAAGAGTCAGTTCTACTCTGTGGGCTCTGGGGGCCGGACTCAGGTTGTCAGGGCCATGGCAAACGCCCTCTGACCCACTGTGCCAGCTCACTGGACCTGAACATATTTTGAGGGCCATTGACAGGGCTTAGCAGGTAAACGTACTTGCCCAGCTTGACTACCTAAGTTTGGTCCCTGGCACCTACATAGTGGACGGTTAGAGCCAACTCCTACAGATTGCCCTCTGACCTCCACAGCACAATAGCATGTGTGTTAAGCCTACCCCATCACCCTCAATAAACAAATGAAAAACAAAAACCCAAATTAAAAACAACAACAACTATGTTGTTTTGTTTGAGACGGGATCTCATGTACTTGATCAAGGTCAAGGATCAAGCTGTCCTTGAACTGGCTATGTAGTCAAGGATGACCTTGAACTGCTGGTCCTTCTGCCCCCACCTCTAGAGTGCTGGGGTTGCAGGTATGCTCCATCAGGCCTGATTTGATTTGGTGCTGGGGATCAAGCCCAGGGTCATACATACTAGACAGGCGCATTACCAACTGAGCTGTATATACATACGCCCAGCTCTTTGTTTTGAGAGTGTAGCCGGGCTGGCCTAAAACTCACTCGGTAGCTCACACTGGCCGCAGACTTGTGGTAGTCCTCTGCCTCAGCTCCTTAGCGCCGGGAGTAGATGTGATCGACCCGACTGTGCCTGGCTCAAAGCTTTCAGAATGCCATGCTGCTCCACAGCCGTTTCAGCTTATGACCCTTCACACCCAAAATTTCCCAAGGCACCGTCCCCGAGGGACAGCACTGGTTGGCCAAGCAGTGTATCTGGACAACAGAAATTGCTTGGGCCATGAGCAGAGGTCACTGGTCACATGGTACCTTTGAGTAGGCAGGTAGGCAGGCATCCATTATCATGTGTCAGCAGGCAGGATCACAGCTTCAGTGGTTAATATGTGCCTTGTGGCCGGCTGTGGACTCCCATAGCTGCTTTACTGTGGTTTTTTGTTTGGTTCTGTGATCAAAACCAGGGTTTTGTTGAGTATGTGTTGAGTACACAGTCTACCACTGAGCTGTACCCCAAGCCCTAGTGTCCATTTCTCCGGTCCCGTTCTCTTCCCATTCCCTTGTTTTCAAGCAGCAGAAGCACCAGCGTCCCTGACCCTGGCGGCTAGGTCTGGACAGGGGTGGATGTTAAGCTTCCTCTCCCTGGCACTGGCTGGTTTCTTCCTGTGTACTACACAGGACAGGAGTGACCAAGAGGTCTAGAAAGGACTTTCCTATAGTTTACAGTGTGACCTCGAGGTGGTCATTTCCTGACTTCCATATTCTCATCTATAAAACTGACCGCTGGGGCCTGTGGGACCTCTGAGACAGGAGCTGGGCATGGTGCTGTCCCGAAGGGGAAGGAAATCTGTTACGAGGCCTGGAGCCATGAGGGAAGAACAGCTGGAGGGGAACGAGAGTTGGGCTCCCAGGGCAGCAGCTGCCGGGCCCCTCCAGGAGCGCAGGCGGCGTACGTCCCCTGATGCCCCAGGAGAAGCCGCAGTGGAGATGCCTCTCCCCCTCCCCTCGTTGCTGCAGGTTGGCTTCCTGAAGATCCTGCACAGGTATGAGATCACCTTCACTCTGCCTCCAGTGCGCAGGCTGAGCAAAGACATCCGTGAGGCCCCGGTCCACAGCCTGCACCTCAAGCTCCTCAGTGTCACCCCCACCCCTGAAGGTAGGTCCTCTCCTGGGCACCCATGAGGGCCTGCTGTGAGTGGGAATGCGAACGTGAGGCTCTTTGCCCTTTCCTAAGGGAGGGTTTATAGGCAGCTCAGCAAAAGTCAGGGGCATGGCTCCTCCTTGAGTTTACAGTGTGGGACCCCAGTGTCAGCCCCGGGCCTCCATTTTTGGACGGAGAAGTCCATTTCATTAACGCACACTGCAGTTTTGCACCTACCCACTGGCTGCTGGTCCCCTCAGGGGAGAGGTCCCAGAGATGGGAGCCACTGAGAACCGTCTCTGCACCCCTGGCCCTCCCTCTCATCTTCCTGGATACAAAGGCTGGAGCTGTAGGAACTAATGCTAATGCCTAGCACCTACTAGTTCCAGGCCTCGGGCTCTAGGCTGCTTCTCCAGCTGGCTTCTGGTCCTCTCCCACTCCTGACCCCACCCTGGTAGAGACTAGACTGTCAGCTTCAGTTCCACGAGCCCACCACTACTGCCTCCTAACACTGAGCTGAGCAAGTCCTTTCCTCTTGTTATCCCATCTGCTCAGAGCCCCCTCTGACAGCCTCTCCTTGTTCTCCACCCCCTTCTTCCTGCCTTCCCGTGTGGCACCAATGGGGACGTTTTCCTTAGAAGCATAAACTGGACCCTGGCCTCCACCTTTAGAGCCATGCTGAGTTCTCAGGCCAGAGACACATTGAACTTAGTTGAAATAATGGGAAGTTTCTGGAAGTTCTGTGCCGGCTTTGTGGGGATGTATCTCTGGAGGGATCATCTGGGCCTTTTTTGGAAGAGGCTGAGCAAAATTTACCCAGTGGGGCACTGTGAGTACTGGGGACAATATGGAGGAGCAGTGGGAGGTACTGACTGACGTCCATCCCTGTCCTCCAGCAGGTTACAGCATCAAGTGTGAGTACTCAGCGCACAAAGAGGGCGTCCTCAAAGAGGAGATGCTCCTGGCCTGCGAAGGTGACCCAGGCACCTGTGTGCGTGTGATGGTGCAGGCACGGGTCATGGGTGAGTGAGAGTGGGTGGGTCTGGCTGGAGGGAGGAGGCACGAGACCAGCTTCAAGAGGTTCTTGGAGCTGGCCGGGGGCTCTCTTCTCCTTGGCAGAGTCCTCCCGAGTCCCCCAGCCAGTGTGAGGGAGAGGTCCCTGTGGAGTCCACCTGGTGTGGTCCCAGGACACAGCCAGCACACTAACTGTGGCACCTGCCTTGCAGACCGGCACCACGGTACACCCATGCTGCTGGACGGTGTCAAGTGCGTGGGCGCCGAGCTGGAGTACGACTCAGAACACAGTGACTGGCACGGCTTCGACTGAGGCCTGGGGCCTGCCTGCCTGCCTGCCTGAGCCCCCGAGCCTTAAATCCCACCCGCTCCCCGACATGCTGCGTGATGGTGTGGCTTCCTCACCTCTCCCCTGGGTGGGCGTGGCAGGGCTAGCCCTTGCTCACGCCTCCCACGTCTGCCTTCATTCCCGCCACCGTCCTGCCTCTCCTGTGGTCTCCTCGCCCACTTCCTCCTCTCCCATGTGCCTGAGTCTCCTGACTGAAGAAATGGGTTGAGTCCCAAGGAGGCTGTCTGGGAGGAGGGACCTGGGGTGGGATTTACCTCTTCTACCCCAAGCCATAGGGGCTCTAGCTGGGGACTGGGAGAGGACGGAGCGGCTCTGTCTCCTGACGTTGATGCCCCACGCTGCTGCTACGGTCATCTCCTCCCCCACCTCTGCTGCCCTCCATCTTCCCCACTGCGGTTCATGTGGTGAGGAGGTACAGTTTCCAGCTCCTACCCCTCAGGTCTGTGGTACTTGGTTTTTAAATGACTGGTTGGGATAGAGACCTTAATAAATAAAAGTTCCAGTAGATACCAGTGGGGGCTCTGTTCTCTGGGCTCGGCAGACTATCCCGTCCTTCCCAGATGAGCCGGTTCCATCAGGAGGAAGGGGTACTGCATGATACTGTGGCACAGGCACCGCCAGGGGATGGAGGCCTTTTAGGCCTGGGACTCGCTGCTTAATGTGGGTGGGGAGCTGCCTCCTGCCTAGGCCGCAGCGCAGTCTTCAGGGACTCTGGTGCTCGGCAGTGAGGAAGCAACAGCCCCTTGCCAAGTCCCTTTCATCTGTGCAGCTGAAGCAGGTCCCGCTTCTCGCCAGGACTTGTCCCTCACACACTGCCCCCACTTATGGGGGTCCCCACTCTAGTGGGTCTAGAAGGCTACTCTTCTTGACCGCAGATGCTTTATTTTCACCCAGGGTAAGTTCTCAGGCAGGTCAAGTTGTCCTAGGCCGTGGTTGGCTGGAATTGCCTGGCATTTCACACTTGGAGAAACTGAGGCCCGTGGTTGATCAGATTTCTTAATGATATGCTATACTGGTTAGGTGGCAGACTGGGACACCCCCTGCCCCTCGCCGCCCCGTGACTCTGTCCTGTGGCTGAGCTGGGGGCAAATGGGTCATTTGTAGGCTGCCCGTGGGTCTGAGCGTGCTGCGTCCACATCCCCTCCAAACCACCTTCACTGTGACAATGCTCCCTCCTCCCGTCAGCCACCGCTCCGCAGTTAACAGTCGCACATCCAGGTACTACTACACCTGTCCCTTTAGCATGGGCTGAACCCCCACCCGCATGAAACTGCTCTCTGGCTTCCTGTGGCTAAAGCGCAACAGTTGGTGAACTCTAACCTTCAGGCTCAGGTTCTGCACCTCACCGGCTCCCCAGCAGTTTCCCGTCCCCTTCCCCTCACCCCCAAGTTCAGGCCAGTGTTTAGTCCTCTGTTGCAGTCTGTCTTCGTGGTCACACACTTGCCAAGCGGGGCTCAGCCTCGAACAAACCTCTTAGAAATCTCTTACACCACCTCGCCTCTTGGGTTCTCTGTTGGAGCGAGGGGACTTTTAGTGTTCCAGTCAGCAGACCAAGGCCCCATACCAAAGCTGGGCTCCGTGTGTCCTTCACATTTCTCTCAGGGTAGGGAGAAAGGGGCGCTGCTGCGAAGACTAGCATGTTCTCGTGTCCCCGCCGGAAGGGGCGCCCTCAGTTGGAAAGAAAGTCGATGGCCGCCCGTACAGAACGGTTGGTACTGACATCCACAGCAGTGACCTTAATCTCGGTATCGCCAAACTGCATGGCAGCGCGGATCTCACGGCGGTTGGGGGGCGTGCCTGTGTTTTCCGGGCCGCCGTCCGGCTCCAGCTCCAGGCTGAGTGCGCCGCACTTGCGCACACCAGGGTCGGTGATGAAGCGTGCGTCCTCCGCGGCACAGCAGTACAGATTGATGAGCACGCGCCGCTGGCCCGGGCGCGCGGGACAGTAGCTGCGCCGCACCTCCTCTCCCAGGGCCACCGACTGCTCGGCGGCCACGAAGCGCTCGAAGACATCAGTGCACCAGCGGCGCCCATCCCGAACCAGCAATTTCTCGGGTGGGTGGTGGCCAGGCACGAAACGGTTGAGCACACCCACGCCGTAAGTGAGAGGGGAGCGGCGTACCCGCACCACACCGGGTGCCTGGCCAAAGAGCACGGCTCCCTTGAGGATGGTGAGGCCCACGTCGTGCGGGACCACAACGCGCAGGCCGCGGGTGCCCAGCGCCGTCTGCACCGCATGCTGCAGCACGGCCGACTCGGCGAAGCCGCCCACCAGGAACAGCAGCTTCACGCCCTGCACCTCAGGCCTAGCCAGCAACACCTCTGCAGGGCAGGGGCAGGTGTGGGATGGGGTTCGGGGAGAGAGGGAGGGAGACGGTCACTGAAGGCCACCGGTGGTTCTGCTGCCCACACCAGTATTGGGGGGGGGCGCAGGGGGCGGGGAGTTGGTCTTTCGAGACTGGGTTTCTCTGTATGACAGAGCCCTGACTGCCCTGGAACATGCTTTATAGACCAGGCTGGCCTCAAACTCAGAGATCTACCTCTTTTTGTCTCCCAAGTGCTGGTATTTTTTGTTTGTTTGTTTTTTGTTTTTCTAGACAGGGTTTCTCTGTGTAGCTTTGCGCCTTTCCTGGAACTCACTTGGTAGCCCAGGCTGGCCTCGAACCCATAGAGATTCGCCTGGCTCTGCCTCCCGAGTGCTGGGATTAAACGTGTGTGCCACTGCCCAGCCCAAGTGCTGGTATTAAAGGCATGTGCCACTGTGCCACCAGTACTCTTAATTAAAAGCATCTAAGAACCGGACATTAATAGAAAAGAGCTCTTTCACTGAAGGTTCCTGGCACTCCTCACTGGGCTTGCCAGCCCCAACACCCTACTACTTTGCTACCATCCCGTGAAGGGTAAAGAATCAGGAATGCATTTACACCGTGTCCACTCTACACACTATCAGCTCATTTAGTCCCATTTACAATGGGGGCATGGAGGCTGTATGGTGGTTTACAGGCATAGATGAGAGGAATTATTTCTGAACCTGGATTTGACGAATGAATGGGGCATCCAGGTACTCACCTATGTGCTGGATGATCCCACTGACTGTGGGCTGAAACAGCTCATTCATAGCCTCACAGGACATCCGGAGCATCCCCTGTGAGGACCACTTCACGAAGTTCACACTGCGGGTGGTGAAGGGGACACACAAGTCCATGGGTCAGTCCAGCTGTTTGCTGCGGCTTCTAGTCAGGGGTCCTCACGCGTCACAGGGTGGACCCCTGCCCTTATCCTCGATCCCACTCTGCTGTCTGCTCGGCTCATGCTGGAGGTCACGAGCAGCCAGCGCAGCGGAGCCAAGAGCATTGAGTAACAGGGCGGGGCAGGGGGAAGATAACATTTGCAGCCTCTGTGCCTTAGGACACTCTCAGTGTGCAGTTTGGACTGCTGATTCCTGACGGCCGGTGGACCTGCCCCACCACCCCGAACTCACCCCCCCCCACCTGTCACTGTCTCAGCTGGCATGGTGTGTGTGTGGAACTGACCAGGCCCCTGACTCTCCCTTGCAAGGGCAGGGCCACATTAGCAAACGCTGCCTGAGCCCTGCCCCTGGGCACACCTGCTCCTGCGCAGGGCGGTCTCCACGTTGTGGCCTCGTTGTTTGCGGTAGAAATCAATGAAAGAGAAGGGAAGCGAAATGTTGAGCGCCCCTGCGCGGTGCGGGCCTGCCGTGCGTTTGCGGGCCTCGAAGGCAATGGTTAGATCCACCCAAGCCGCTGGCCGTTGCCTTTTGAATTTGGCGATGAAGTCCTCTCCGAATATGCGGCAGAGCAGCTGCTCAAAGGCGAGGTCCACCCCGACTGCGCCGTAAGGGCCGCCTGCGGAAGGGTAGGAGACAGAGGGTGTCATTGCCAGACAGGCCACCAGGGGACGATGGAGGCCTTGTGGCCAAGGGTATTTGTGGGTCTACTCGCCGGAAGCCTTGTAGAGCTCCTTGAGGGTGCCATGAGGCTGCTCCAGCTGGTGTACGGTCAGGTCCACAGTGCCGCCCCCACAGTCTGCCACCATGTAGCGGTCTCCTGCACCGGTCAACACGGGTAACGTTAAAGGCCTGTCTCTCGCCTTCCGTCTTGCACCCCCCAACCCTGCTCCAGACACCAAGCCTAACCCTTGGGGGGACAGTATGGAAGCAGGGGGAGAGATGAAGGGCTTCGTCTCAGGCTATCAGGTAAGGATGCTGAGTGTGGAAGGGATCGGATTGGAGGCTTGAACACGGAACAGCATCCCCTGGCGGGATGAGTAGGGGGGTGCCGCTGTAAGCAGGATGACTGGGGGAAGATGTAGGCTTCACAGATGTACCCTTCCCCAATCCCTGCGGATGCCCTGCACGACCTGGGTGTTCCTTCATACCCTTCTTGCCTCACCTTCTTGCATCTCTGCCCACAGTTCTCCCACGCCAGACTCCACCAGGAACGTTCGGCTGTGGCGAGACCTGCGCAGCTGCTCCCGGGCTGGGGTGGGGCAGAGCAGCCAAGTGAGGTTAGGAGCTAGCTACCACTCTCAACTCTTCTCCTTACCAAGGCTGTGCCGGGCACTGCGGCAACACTGATCCCAACCCCAGGCTCTAGAAGCATTGTTGGATACAGGACTTTTTCTTGACCCAGAGGGAGCAGGTCCTGGCACATTCAGGCCTTGAAGGATCTGGGTGGGAGATGTCTCCTAGTGTCCCAGGGAATCTCGGGACTTGGGGCCTCTCCCTGCCAGGGAGATCACATTTAGGAGGATGGCCAAAACGAACTACAGTTGTCCTTGGCCTCAGTGCCTGGGTCTGGCTGCAAGGGGCAGGGTGGGGCAGGGTTGATGTGGGGTAACAGTTGATAGAGAGGCTGTTTAAAGAAAAGCCTCTGAAGAGGAGGCTGGGGCCCAGCTTGCTCCCCTGTTAGTGTCCACCGAGCCCCTGTCCCGAGGCAGTCTGTCTCCCTGACCCTCAGACTCTGCTTCCCTGGTCAAGGTGAGATTGTCCTCCACCTGGGGTCCTGGAGCCAGGGCTGTGTCCTCCTCACACTGAACTCTACCTAGCTTCCCTCAGGGTGGTGACTCCCCCTTTTCCATCCTAGACATAGCTAACCTCCCACCCTTTCAAGGGCACCCGCCATCGAACCCAGCACTAGGCAGCAACCCCGGAACAGCTTACCATGTCGGAAGCTGGAGTCGATAGAACGGCGCTCACCCAGGCGCCCACCACCCGCAGTCCGGCTGCTCAGGTCCATGAGCTGGTGCAGGCGAAGTTTGCGACAGTAGACAGAGGCAGCCTCGGGCTCCAGGGCGATGAGCAGTTTTTCTGCATCCTCTCGAGACACCAGGCCAGCCTGGGGATAGGGTGTGGCCAGCACCAGGCGGCACCATAGACTGCCATGTAAGACGGCACTCTGGGGCCCTCCTACCTCTTCTCCCATCACACACCAGCCATGCCGGGCCTGCCAGGCCCCTCCATGCTACACACAGCTGAAGATGCCCCACAGGC